GTCCCATCACCGAAACCTCCCTCCCTCCTCCCTCTCCCCCCTCCCACCCAAGTGTGTTGGAATTTTTTTTGAAGTTCTTACAACAAGCAAATGGAGGGGACACACTTGAGGGTTTTTAAAGGAGAGCACATGAGAGTCTCTCTCTCTGCTCTGCCATTTCCTGCCATGTGAGACCCCTGCATCACTGAAGCCGCCACCAAGGAAGACCCTCACCAGATGTGTTCCCTGGACTTTAGACTTCCCAGCCTCTGTAACTGTAAACAACAAATTCCATTTTCTTACAATCATCCAGTTCCAGGTATTTTGCTATAAGCATCAGAAACAGACTAATACAGATGATTTTATAAAAAGCAAGATATTGATAAGGGAATGGATCAAAAGTAAGCCAAGATTTCACATATCTTCAAAGTGGGTGGGAATCCACCATGCTCACCTTTGCAATTTGATCAAACTTTCCAAAGAGTTCGTTGAGCATGTGGACGAGTTCTCCTGGGGAACAGTCACTTGCCAGCCGGGTGAACCCAACAATGTCAGCATACAAGATACTGCGGGAACACAGGAGGAGGGGACGCAGGATTTTCAAGTTTATATTTGTTGAGAAAGAAATGATAACTTTTCCATTAAAAGAGTATAACTTTTTTTAAACTTTACTTATATTTTCCTGAGAAAGATATCATTTTCCTGGATAGGGACTACATAAACANCAGTGAGAGCTGTCATGGTTAGTTGGACAGCATAAGGCAACGAAATTGGAGAGTCTGACCCAAGAATGACTGTGCTAACATCTGCAAGCCAGATTTCTTCCTAAGAGGTGTGGCTGGAGTGTTCTGCATTGTTTTAAAGTGAACCGAATCACACAGTGAACTAAATTTAGGAGCAACTCTTCCATATATAAACAATTAATATTAATAGGCATAATAAATTATTTTTTTTGGTGTAAGGAACAATCTAAAGACAGAATTAGACTGAGCAGAAATGTTTTATGAGAAGTAAAGAGCTAGCAAGGAAGAAAATTTCCTCACCAGTATTGTCACCAGCAAGCCTAGAAGTGCCAATAAGTAGGGTCTAGTATGGTTTTAGATGACTTATCAACATTTCCTGTCTATGAAATCTCCCATAAATGAGAATGTGGGTGGCAAACACTGAACTCTCATTTGTGGTTAAGTGGCATGAAAGTCAAAGGACTAAAATGAAATAACAGTAAGCAAAGGGTTTGCATGGAAGTTATGCATCCTACTTTAGGGGTTCTTCCAGAGTCCTGCTTAGCAACAAGAATGCAAGGTGGTTACAGCCAGGTGGGCAGAAATGATCTTACCATCGCCTTGACATGGAAATGCCTCACAGAGCACCTTAAAATAGTATAGTGCAGAGAGATTTCCAAATTGAATCGCATTGTCTTGAACGTGTTATATGTGCCCTGAATTATATATAAGCAGAAGTTTCAAGAATAAATGAAAACATGTGGTGACTATATGCTTGACGTGTCACATGAAAACATGTGGTAATTATATGCGATGACATCCCTGATACAGATTTGAGACTCATTAAGACTCAATGGCAAATAAATCCAACAAATTTTACAAACAACATTCCTAAAGGATGCTGCAGTGGATTGAAGTCGTTAAAGCTTAAGCCCCACTATAACTGTTGAGGGTGGAAAAAACTATTGTGGTAACTGAAAGGTGGGGCCTTGAATAGGTGATTAAGTTGATGGTTTAATGGTGGTCATGGGCATAGCTCTGAGGGTTTTTAAAATTTTTTTTAAATTTTTATTTTGTCAATATACAATGTAGTTGATTATTACGTCCCATCACCGAAACCTCC